AGACTCTGAATGCCTTTCACCTCTGCCTAGACCTGTGTGGGCCCATTTCAATAGTATAGGCCCTCGTTAGCACAGTACAACAGGGTATATACCTGAACCCTATTTTCGTCTGTATCTGCTATAAGGGGGAGTGGCATATTCTTGACATTTAACACCACCCTGCCCATTAAGCAGGGTCCTCACCTACCCACATCAGGGGCCTGAGGATTGATGGCTCCACCCACTCCAACTAGCCACCCAGAACAGAGGTCCAAGAATAAGTGGTGCCTCCTAGTCCTTACACTCAACATCACTGGGTGCCCAAAGTTTGGCTGCAAAACCCACCCACCTACAAACTGTAGAGAACATAGACACACCTTCCACCCAGACACTCAGAGGCAGCTGTCAGCCCTCCACCTTACTCAGTGCATAATCTAGATGATTCCCAGGCCTACTTCAATCATCCCTACATAGCCCTGCTTGTCTAGGACTGCAGGTGAGAGCCTGCACCACACACTTGGTGACTGATGACCTGGACATGTGAGCTGAATCCACATAAGAAAAGTAAATGGACTCCTGGGCTCACACACCCAGTAGCAGCTCTAACCACCTGGTGACAGGACACGAGAGCTTCAAAGATGGCAATAATCAAAGTAACTCACACAACTAGCCTATTTAGGCATATCAAAAAAAAACAAGAAGCTAGGACACTGTAAGCAAACATACAATAAATAAATATAATAACTTATTGATGACTTAGAGACAACAGTCAATATCGAATCACATAAAGAGGCAGACCATGATGGCCTCAGCAAGTGACCAAAACAAAGAACCAAGAAACTCCCAGAGGAAAAGAAGGTCTTGAAATTACCAGAGTTAGACTTCAAAAGATTAATATACAGAGCTCTTCAAGAGATCAAGAAGGAGATTAAGCAAAACACAGAACAATCCAAGGAACACACAGACAAAGCAACAGAGGAACTATACAAGAGCATAATGACAAATTTAACAGGCTGCAAGAATCCACAGAGAGACAGCAAACAGAAATCCAAAAGATTAACAATAAAATTTCAGAATTAGATAAGTCAATAGAAAGTCATAGGAGCAGAATTGAGGCAATGGAAGTCAGAATTAGTGAGAGTGAAGATAAATCATTTGACATCAATTTATTTGTGGAAAAATCAGATAAAAGAATTTTAAAAAATGAAGAAAACCTAAGAATTATGTGGGATTCTATCAAGAGGAATAACCGATGAGTAATTGGAGAACCAGAACAGGGGGAGATAACAGAAAATACAGAGAGAATTGTTGAAGATTTGTTGGCAGAAAACTTCCTCGATATCATGAAAGAAGAGAAGATATCTATCCAAGAAGCTCATCAAACCCCACACAGGATAGATCCCAAAAGAAAGTCACCAAGACATATTGTAATCAAACCTGTGAAAACCAAAGATAGAACTTGAAGAGTGGTAGGGATAAACGAAAAGTCATCTACAAAGCACATCAATA